GTTGGCGTGGGCGGGGGGGTTGGGGAGAACTGAGCTCTCCGCCCTGCCCCTCCTGGAACAAGAGCATGCTCCCTGTAGGCTTTCCCTGCTGCACAGAGTGCCAAGCCATGTAAGCATCCCCCCTCATGCCCAGACCCCATGCCCAAACCCCCCTCACTCCCCTCCCCGACAAGACCCCGCATTCCCAGCTTGCTCTGACACCCTGCCCCAAGTTCCCTCCTGCACCGTCCCTCCTGGCCAGACACATGACCTTATTTAGCATTTTTTTATTATTATCCTTACCTTTTTGTGGTCTACATTTTCAGACTGTTATTAGGGCAAGTCTTCCAGGGTGCGGTGGGGGGTCAAGGCGCATTTCAACTCCCAGGTCTCCCAGGTCCTATGGGGTTTGGTTTGTTTTGTTTTGTTTTGTTTTTGCTTGCTAATTTTTCCCTGGGAGATGCTTTTTTTCCCCCTCCTTGACAAAAAAAATCCTTGGTGTTCCTCATAAAAAAATATTTTTTGGTGTTCCTCACTCTTAAAAAGTTTAAGAAACACTGTAGTAGAAAGTGTTAGCAGAACTCATCCCCAGAAGCAGAATAAATGGATTCCAAAAAGGAGACCCAATCTCAGTGCTATTTGGCCAGGAAGCTTGGTGTGACATGGAACCCAGAAGGAAATCCAAAGCCCCGAATTCGAAAAACATGAAGAAGTATATTCCTTATACAGAAATAATGAAATCACTAGGATGTTAAATGTAGGGGCTATTTTCTGATGAATGCCAGCGTTTGCTAATGATAGAGGAGAGGAAGTAAATAGAATGCTAATGAAATCCATTATCATGATTTGAAAATGCTGAGAGAACATTTAAGCAACAAGCAACGAAGTTTATGGACTCTTTTAAGCTGTATTGTGACAGACCCAAACCAGCATGCTGCCACACTCTAATGGAGGGCAGGTTCACACGGTGTTGGGTAAATAGCTTTCTTTTCCCTGAATAAATTCCCAGAGACTGCTGCCACAAAATTAAGGCAGGCAAACACCTGGAGTAATGATTTGCCTGAAAAAGCAAGCTAATCAAACACCTGTTGCCACTGCCTTAGGGTCACTGGGCTGGAACCCGGAGTAGTGGACAGGACCAGGTTCCTCCCAAACCTCCCCCATGCCAACACAGAGACTGCCCCTGAGAAGGGAGACCAGGACTACAAAGGTGTTTTCACCCTGAAACCATGGACTAGCCTGTGATGAGAATGGCTCAGTAAGCTATGGGCCTTGCCTCTTGTAAAGAGAAAGGGGCTGTGTATAGGACCACAGCGAGTCTAGGAGGCTAATATTGTCCGCCAGTACCACGAGACCCATGGGGCAGGGCTGTAGTTTTGCCACAATAGTGAATAAGAAAATGTAGCAACACCCCATATTTACTGCAGCAAAAAAATGATCTGCTAGGTTGGACAATCTTCTTTTGTTAGGCACACAAGCCTTTGCATAACTAAATGGTGATTAAATTGCTTTGGATTGGAAGTTTCTTTAAATTGAAGATGATGCACTCCTTCAAGAAAGGTTTCCGATCAAGTAAATAAAGAGGGCAAGATGCCCCCAGCAGCATGGTTTTCATCTTAGCGAGCCGCTTATTTTGTATAAAGATTTTCAATAAATAATTCAAGATAAAACATTATGTTTCAAAACTGGTACAGATGTTGGAAATGGGCCCACATAACTAACCTTTCCAAGTGGCAACGTGAATAAAAGTCCAATCATTACCTTAGCTGTGCAGAGTACAAAGAGAACATTTAAATACAATCAATAATCCCCACGTAAAGAGACGCCGGCTGCTCAGCAGGACTCAGCGAGATATAGATTTCGAGTTACAAGTCAACAAAGCTGTAATAACTCACTGCAGCGGTTGCATTTTCATTTGAGAGCCAGGACAAGCTCGCTCACTACCCAGCAATATTCTCAGGAGTTGATCAAAATCACCAAAGCACATTTCTTTGCATCAGTGAGACTTGCATATGCCCTATGATGAATTTCTAGAGGGAAAACCCTCATAAAAATGGGCATGTGAAGTAATCCCGTCAGCGACTGTAGGATGTGAACATAGATGCCTCAACCTTCACATCATTTAAGCTAGCAGATTAACACCATTAACCAGTCAGTGTACTAAGCTGCTGTCTTCCATGTGGATTAGTTACTATTGGGCAGTCTAGCCAGCATCACAAACTGGCTAGACCGCCCAAGTGCCGAGGAGGGCACTTCCGGGGAGTTCACAAACTTTTTCTCTCTACAAGTGGGTTAAGGCAATGGGATGTGAAGCAAGGCATGCTCTGTGCCCACACAGCATGGGGAGCATGGAATAGCTTGTTAATGTGTCTGCAGATGGAGCAGGAATTTTGCCTGCACAACTCCATGAAGCTCTCGCATATGAACTCTTTGATCCTTCTCAGAAGGTTTTTGGGGAGGCCAGGTGTCCATGGTAGGACACCTTCCCATGTCAAGAGACCTACTGGTCTGGCATCAGTGAACCACAAAGCGGTGCAGCATAAAGCCCAAATTTCTGGCCACGTTCCATCAGCAGCTGTTC